CCAAGAGAATGTTGTATGCAATAACAGCCATGTTGTGTGATGACTAATATTGATAAACTTACCCCTTCCTAGCAATACAGGGATCTAAGACATTTCCAAAGGCCTTCCATGATGGAAAATGCTATCCACATCCAAAGAAATAACTATGGAGTTTGAAAGCAGATTGAAGCATACTATTTGCAATTTTTTTTCTCTTCTGTTGAAGAGAACTTGGCCTTTCCACACGTTGGTTTTGTAACATCTCAATGCCTTAGGCCAGAGGTGTTGAACACACTGCCCAACCTGATTGAAGTGAAATTGGAAAATATTTAACAAAATAAATAAAAATACAATAATACATAGATAACATTTGTTTCCTCTTTCTGGTGGTTCCTCCTATTGGTTCTAATTTTTACTTACAACATCACTAATCTGAAAATGTTTAATAAGAATTTATGTATATAGCCTATATCAGATTGTGCACTATCTTGGGGAGGGTGGTAGGGAGGAAGGGGGAGAAAAATTTTAAACTCAAAAGTTTATGGAAGTGATTGTTGATAAATCAAAAGAAATAGGGGTGAAATGCTTAGGAAAGGCTTTAAATAGATCTGAGTCTTGAAGGAAGGTTCTAAGAGGCAGAAGTGAGAAATGAGTACATTCCAGACATGGAGGAATGAGCTGATGGGTGTTGAGTGCAAGATATGGCCGGAGGGCTCCTTTGGCAGGAACATAGAGAAAAAGAATAAGGTAAAAGAAGTCTGGAGCCAGATTTTCCTGGGCCTTACCTGAAAAATAGTGCATTTATCACAGAGGTAGTAGGAAGCAACTGAAGATTCTTATGCAGGCAATCAGCATGATTAAAAAAATATATGTTTGGTATAGAAAATATATATTTGGTAACTATATATATAGGGTGGAATGGTTCTGGAAAGAATAGGGGAAGGAGTTCAGAGGTGGAGAAATCATTCATTGAATGGACAGGTAGATTTGTTGTAAGCATGAAGTATAAAGAATAGAAAGTCAGAATTAGGAAATCATGGGGTGGGGTTTGCCCTCCTAGCTACCCACCTATTTTTACTCCTACCACAAAGCTTTCTGTCCTTTAATCCTCAGCAAAGGAATTCCGATAAGTAAGAGGTATTAAAATATGTTGCTGTAGTTTACAACTGTCATCTGTAATGTTTTATTTAGCTGTATCTTTTTCCATTGCTCCCTCTGCAACATGGAGCACCATATGCCATTGTCCCTGTCAGGAAGCAAAGGTTCCCTGGTCTGTGCCTTCGCCTGTGTTTATGCCACAGAGGAACTGCAGTCCAGTGCCATCTTTTATTGATAGGACCAGCAAAGGAGGAATCTAATGAAATTATCAAAGCTTTGAATTAATTATGAACTTGAATAGGAGAGCTAAGCTCTCTGGAGCCAGGGATCTCATTACCCATTCACTCTCATTGCATCCTCTTATGAAGCAGAAGGCTGGTTCAGATACAGCTCTTAGCTTGGCTTTGGACTTTATTCAAACTTGCTAAATTGACATCCTCTTCTTATTGCAGTGTGGCTGAAAATGTCTATGATGATTAATTTAATTCTGCTCGGGAACTCCAGGACATGTCAATAGCAGGCTTTCTTCTCCCACCTCTATCCTTCCTTTTTTTTTTCTATATGGGCTTCTTGGTTTTTTTTCCCCTCTTTTCTATCATCAAATTGGATGCCACACAAGTTTCTATCCATTTGGGGAACTGGGAGAAGCATTCAAGATTCAGGTGTAGCTTCATGGAACATAATGATTGATTTAAAGTTAAGAACTCTCTTCCATCTACCATGTGTTCCCTGGATACGTAGGTAAGCACCATAGCTGCTAAAGTCATTGCCAATCGTTTCTTCTCTGAATTACGAAGACTACTTTGACTAAGGTCTTGCATGGGTGTTTCTACTTTAGAATGGACTGTGCTGCAGATGAATGACTTGTTAACTGCTTGGACTTTAGCAGCCTTCACTGATGCGTGGAGTGTATGGTTAATGTCAGCATGAGAGCTCACCATGTAGTTGACGGCTTAAGAGTGCCTTGTGCCCAGTGAACAAGTGGGATAGGAACTCGCTGATGGTGGCACTGCCGTTGTGTGTATTTCAGTCAGAAATCTAAATTGCTGCTTTCTTGGATGAATAAATCAGCCTCTTGATTGCTTTATGTCCAGTAGGCAGAATCAATAACAACCAGGTTTCTGTTCACATATTGGGGATGATTCTTTTGGTACCTGTCATAAGTTTATAACAATGAGTAGCAAGCCTTTTCTGCTTGCTTTTGAGACCCATTATTTATGAGTTCCTAAGCTGCAGCTCATCTGTCTTTGTAAACTACAGGCCACTGGCAATTTTTGTTAGCAATGGAGAACTTTGCCTAATGGTATATGTGGTTCAAGGTCTGGGATCAGGAGTGTTGGGAGGGAAGGAGGGAGGGAGAATAGCATTCTTTGCTTGTACTGTGACTGTTTACTTTTAGTGAGTTTTCCTCTCTTTTCTCTGTAGGCAGCAGCTATATTTAACTCAGCTTTTGGAAGTTTTTTGGTGAGTAATGCAATGTTTAAATCTTTCTCTGAAATGACTTTTTGGGGGTTGGTGGAGGTCAGTTATTTGAAAGACTTGGTGAAAGCTGAGAACATTTTTCAGTTCTGTTAAATGTGCCTATACCTTTCTATTCATCATGGTTTGAATAAAATTACTTACTAAATAAAGGCAATTGATCTTCTGTGGTATACTTTATATGCTTGAGTTTAGTATGCTATTGAATGGGTTAAAGAAATCAATTATAACACAACGTTTCTCTTTATAGAGGTGCTGTCAATATATTGATTGTTTAATGAGGTCTATTAGATTACTATTATTTTCTATCAAGGGGCCAAGGATTTTGAAGAGGAAACATGACCCAGCTGGTCAGAAAGGAGATGCTAATTTACTTGGTGACATGTCATTTATTTTGCATGTTTCACTGTCACTGGAGCCACCGTCCTGGGTACTTCTGAGAAATCTAAGGGAAAGGGGAAAAAAAAATTAAGTGAGACCAGGAAACAACTTAAAGGTCAATGATTTGCAAAGATCAAAGAATTCTTTTCTTTTTTTTTTTTTAAGGCATCAGTCCCTCAGAGAGAGAGACAGAGACAGAGACAGAGAAGCCAGGCTTCTATACAATAAGAATTTAATCTTTTTATAAAGAATAGAAAATTATAGTCTGTTTCCTTTGGTGATCCTTTTAAAACTAGATGATTTGGCAAGAGTTTGAGTTTTATGAAAGATTGCAAAAACTACTTGAGTTTTGGGGAGTTGTTAATGGAATGTTTTGATTTAAATCCTTGAACTTAGGTGAAATGCATGAAGATAAATTAAAATACCATCTAGGGAATATATTTCTCATTCATCTCATTCAAGCAATTAGATTAGACTGATTTATACATAAACAAAAAGAAAATCAATGGTACATAAATTAGCTTGAGGATAGGACTGTCCTAAATTTGAATTCATTTTATATCACCACCCATTGTATATCCAACCTCTTCACCAATATATTTGCTGTTAATTAATTAGACTCACACTGAGTGTTGATTAAGTAGTATGAAGAATTTGTTGGTATTTTATAAAAAACACTTATATATGTTTAATGTTATGTGTTTATTTTTTTTAAGTTATGATATTCTAGCCTACTGGGATTTCATTTTTGTCAGATTTTAAAGATTCATTAGGTAGGTTATTTAATTGGCATTAATTCCTGACTATTTCTAGCCTTAGTAATTGTCTGTTGAGGTAATTGCTTTCACTTGTCTATGTTTTGTTTTCTGTAGAGTGATTTTTAAAAGGCTGCTTCTCTACCCACTATGTCACTCGACCTCTCTAAGACTATAAATTATAATTGAGTAGCTGATCTCTATCATACCAAGTTTCCATACCAAGAATTCCCTACATACAGCATCTTCCCTCCCTGGCCCTCTAGCCTCATTCCTTACACTTATAAACATGGAATCACAGATCTATACCAAAGGAAAAAAGAAAAGATTATCAAAAATATAGTTCTTGTATATCATCATTTTGGCAGGAGCATTGAGGCAGAGTAAAAAAGGTGCTTGGCTTGGAATTGGGTTGTGGAGTTGGCTTCAGAACCTGCCTCTGTCACTTGACAGAGTGACCTTGGTCAAGTTAGTTAATCTTGACAAACTTCAGTTTCCGCAGTTGTAATATGGGGATCATGAGCACCTACATCATTGGGTTGTGGCGAGGATCAAGTGAGATACTATGTGTATAGCACCCTGCAGATCTTAAAATACTACACAAATATCAGTTATTCACACTTATAAGAGTAGTTATTGACTTCAGGGTTTAATCTAGTTGGAAGTCAGTTTGTCCTGAGTTAGGAAGTCATGCACATTTGCTGACCAAAACCTGGTTCTCTCAGCTCTGTCTCGCTCTTCAAAATATTGAGGCTTTTTGTCTTTGTTGTGACTATGGGATGGGGGCAGTTGGTTATCTATGCAATGAAGACATTTCTCCCCCTCTGCACATAGTAGGTCCTCGGTTGCTGTACTCTGGTTTGTCTGTGTGAAGACTGGCCAACATTCATTCTGCATGGAGCCCCAGGATTTGGGAGGATGGGAGGACGGGGGGCCTTGAGCTGGCTCTTGCAGGTTAGAGGGCATTGGGGGGGGGATCTGAAGGAGGATCCTGGAGTAATCAAAGGTGGGTAGGAGCATAGGATGGCAGAAGTTGTGGGGTAAGAGTAGGAAGGATTGTCACGGCTGAATGGGGCAATTACTCTGCTTCTTCCCCTTCATATGCCCCAACCTGCCCCCGCCATGTTTGAGGAACCTTCCAAGTCTCTGAATTACCAGTGACGAGCTGCTGGGCCCAAATCAGAGTTGAGAACTGAAGCTTTAATAGATTTTAACTTTGCAGTTTTCAAATGAGAGGCACCTCTTCAAGGACTTGGAGGGTTTGCTTTGTAACCAGATGTAGTTAGACTCCTTTGTTGTTATTCAGTCGTTCAGTCCAACTCTACATGACTCTGTCTGGGGTTCTCATGGCAGAGATAACTGGTTTGCCCCTTCCTTTCCCAATGTGTCCTCATTTTACAGATGAGGAACTGAAGCAAATAGGGATTAAGGGACTTGCCCAAGGTGACACAGCTAGTAAGTGTCTGAGGCCGGATTTGACCGCAGATCTTCTGACTCCAAGCCAGATGCTCTGTCCACTGCAGTGCATTGTGGTGGATAACAGGCTAGCCTCAGAATCAGGAAGACCTGGGTTCAAGTCCTGCCTCTGACACTGTACTGACTCTATATCCTATTGAGGTCATTTAAACATCTCTTTGTCCCCAGGCAACTGTCTAAGATTCTAAGTTACATATCAGTTACCAGTCTCCATCAGTGGAGGAAGTTCCCCACATGGATAAAATCATGTCCAAACACCCTTGCTCACCTTCCTCTCCCACACCTCTTTCTCTGCCCCACTAATTGTTGTAAGTGAAGATTAAAATGACTTGAGGTGGTGGGGAATAGTAGAAAGATTTGAACCAGAGGTGGGAAACCTCAGTTCTTGTGGTTCTGCCGTGGACTTTCTGTGAGATCTTGGGCAAGTCACTTAACAGTTCAATTCAACAAACATTTACTAAGCACCTACTGTGTACCTGGCACTGAGAATATCAAGACAAAAATGAAACAGTCCCTACCTTCAGGACCTTACATTTTACTGGGAGTGGGGTGGGTGGGGACAGGAATACAACATAGATACAAATAAATAAATGGGATGTAATTTTCAGAGGAAGAGCCTTAACGTCCTTATTTGTGAAGTGAAGGCATTGAATCGGGTGCTTTCTGAGGTCCTTCCTAGTTTGAGCATGCTGTGTTCTAATATTCAACCTTCCATGTTTTAATATTCTACATTCAAGTATTTGAGAGTTCAACATTACATGTTCTAACATTCCCTGCTTCACCATTCCATATTCTAAGATTCCTTCTAAAATTCCATAATTTTATGACTTTTACTAGAAGTGAGCAGTCTTCAGGTATTCATGTATGGGCATCTGTAAAGAAGTTTAGAATTCCTCATTGTATTTTAAATTTTGAATGAAGTGCATCGATAAGGTGAATTTTTTTTTAAAGGAAAAAAACAATCTCCAAAACTACTTTCTAGTTTTCAGGTAGTTGGGTGCACCAGATAAAACATTGTCCATATTTATAGTGAGCTTAATAACATCCCAGGTCTAATTAAAACACAGTGTTTTAAAGAACTAATTGTTACAGAAAACTGTTTTTATGTAGCTGGGTTGGTAATAACTAATGATAGATGAATTCAATTTACATAAATTTCAGACCAAGAGAATATTTTAGAATCATGCCATGGAGGATTGCTTTAAGTTAAGAAGTTAATGTCATTATCTCTTCCTCTCATTTAAAGAGTTCGCTTTACAATAATTGTAGAGCATAATAAGCGATTTGAGATTTCCCACTTGATGGGGTTTTAATAAAATCTGATAGCATTTTAGTAATTCTGGGTGGTTGGTGAGCAGGGTTTTTGCTATTATGAAATAATCCTGATGATGGAAGGGCTGTGCATAAAGCCAAGTTCAGCGGGCTTGCATGCTTTTGCATCCACATATGAAGCATGGAACGTTTCTCAAATACACTGAGTGGTGATTCTCAGGGGAATTGGATTAGGGATTCCAGATGCCTTTGTTTAATTTCAAAAGGTGTGCAGTGCTTGAGAAGTATTAGTGATTTACCAGAGTTACATTTTGATTTTATGATTTGGTCATGCTCCAGCTTCAGGTCTCCTTGCCCCCCTCCCCCACTAACAGCCCCCCCCTTACACATACCCCCAAAAAATTAGTCTGAAAGGTAAGAAAAGAAATGGCGACATTGGGCATGTGAGTTTGGTATGAGTCTTGTGTTCTAATGAAGTTCCACAGGGAGTTTACTGTAGCAGTGGAATCACAGGTTCAGTCCCTATCAGCTAGGGACTAGCTGGCTAGCTGGTAAAGTGGATAGAGCATTAGGTCTAGAGTCAGGAAGACCTGAGTTCAAATTAGGCCTCAGATACTGTGTGTGACCCCAGTTAAGTCACTTAACCTCTCTTTGCCTCAGTTTCCTCAGCAGTGAAAATGAGGATAATAACAGCACCTACGTCTCAGGGTTATTGTGAGAATCAAATGAGATAATAGTTGTAAAAAGCACTTAATATAGTGCTTGGCACTTAGTACGTGTTTTATAAATGCTTCTTCCCTTACCCTCTTCTCACTCCCCACAAAAATTTCTTTTTCCCAGATACTTTACTTTCATTTCCAGAAGAGGATAGGGGTAGGGGTGGGGAATTACATTTTTTATACAGTGCCTCTCATTACTACATTCTTCTCCTTTGATGTAGTGGTTGTTGCTACTTCCAGAAGCTCATCAAAGAGGAAGGTGTCAGGACAGAGAAAAAAACAGTTAAACTTAAAAATCTCCTTGCCACTGAAGGATTGGAGAGGGAGATCTAGCCATCTCTCACTCCTGTAACCCAGCTTAATTACCTCAGTTGTCCTCTGG